TAATTATTTACAATTAATTATATCCAAACAGGTTGCTTTCTGCAGCACTTTAAAGAAATTGACGGTTCTCCTAATATACCCAAGAAATCAATGCAAGGCCAAAAATGTAAGAAACTAGACTCATAACCAGTTCTAATGACGCTGATTTGATAATTTTCAGATTTATACCCAAAGAGAACAAGACTTCGGAAGTTACTGTTTTGTACTAGTTTTCTGGACAGATTTGAACGCATCAGTTTATATGGATTTTGACTCCCAAAATTTATAAGAAAATTCTGGTATGAAATTCAATATGCAATTAGATTACTGTAAAAATATTAGCTTAAAATTCATTCGTCTAATATGGTTTCCAAATTTCTAAAGTTTGTAGTTTAGTACAGAATTTTTGAATTAAGAATTACACCCATTCTTTACATATGAATTTAACTTCTCATATTTCTTAACAGTATATATATATACAAAAGCTAGAGGACACGCCCAAAAAATATTTTTTTTTTTGTTGCTGTCTCTTTTCTCTCAACCCACTCTCACGTTGTTGTTGCTGTTGCTGCTGCTATGGTATTGTTAGGAAAACTAGTGTTGCTTTATATATGTAAACTGGTGTTGCTTTAAATTATTATCCTTTGTTTTATTTTATTTTATTTTCTCTCACCATTAATTTAAATAAAATACAACTATTATTAAATTAAAATATACTTATTAACTTGTCCCCTATTTTTTTTTTAAATAATAAATCTTACCTCTAAATTAAAGACTTCCACCATAAATTTATTTTAAGTTTAAAATCAATTAAAATATCGTTCAGTAATATTTAATTTACACCTTCAGATTCACAAGCAAAATATTTGAGGTTTGTAAAGTAATTATTATTTAATTATTTATTTTATTTACATATTTAGGTTCTCACAGCCCTAATTTGGGTTAATATGTGTGATTTATCTTTCTTGTGCATTTGTTTGTTTCTAATCGATCCTAGTGTGGTGTTACTGATTCCTAACAACAAGTTGAGTGCTGGCTTGCACAAACTTTAAAAAAAATACACATATTTTAATCACCATTAGATGGATCATGGAGTTAGAGGAAGAGGGGTAGATTGGGTAATTCAGAAAATTAGTGGGCTAAAATGTGAAGGTCAAACTTAGCTTTATCTCAAAAGCAATTCAAAGCAAAAGATTCTTCTGACATGAATTTCTATACTAACTGGAAAAATAAATTGGTTGTAAAAGCTGAAATGGTGTCTAGTCCCTTTTATCATGAAAAAACTTACGTTTAAAATTGCTTGGGTTTGAGAATTCTGTTTTAAAACAACTAGCATTTGGTAAAAAAATTAAAGGACATGTACATCATACTTTTCCAATTTCTGTTTTAATAGAAGCCTCGTGCACTGGGTATTCTTTTTCTAATGAATAGATGTCATTGAACACAGACTTCACTTGTACTCCCATGTTTTTTCAATTATTTTCACTTGTTCTCACTAATTTGCAATTCTTGTTGTATTAATTGAATGTTATGTTCATTTGCATCTCTATTTTTTTTACAATTGTTTTCACTTGTTCCCATTGATTTCCAATTATTATTTTTTAATTCAATGTTTTGTTCCTGCCTTCTTGTCTTCTCCTTGTGTGAAACACGTAAGTGCTAGTTCAAAGAATTCAGCAAGAGTGATCATTTCATATTTGTCACAAGAGTTGGGAATTAATAGCTCTGTTCAATGGCTGCTGAGGCATCCTCTTCCACACCTCGGTATTCTTATCATGTGTTCTTGAGTTTCACTGAAGACACCTGTAAGACTTTTTCAGACCACCTCTATACGGCCTTGGTTGGTACAGGTTTGCACACGTTTAGAGATGATGATCATGGTGATGAATCTGATGATGCTATTAAGGCAATCAAAGAGTCAAGGAGTTCAATAATAGTGTTCTCAAAAGACTATGCTTCTTCGCAATGGTGCCTTGATTCAAACATGTAATTTTACCAGTTTTCTATGGCATAGATCCATCCCATGTTAGGAAGCAAACTGGAAGTGTTGGTGAAGCATTTTCCTGGCATGAAGCTCAATTTGAGGTGGAAATTGATGAAAGAAAAAGGAAACATGGGATGGAGAAGGTGGACAGGTGGAGGGCAGCACTCAGAGAAGTTGCAGATCTCGGAGGTTTGGTCCTACAAAATCAAGCTGATGGGTAAATTTCCTCTTTTTGTTACACAAGCAACAAGCATAAATGCTTTTCTTTAAAATAGTTCGACAGTGTCTTATGAAATGCCATTTTACTTTTACAACAATGAACAAGGCCTTAGAACAAGAACCTTGAATCAGATTTCTCCTTTGCAACTCATGTGCTCCACTTGAGCGGGATTTGAGTGAGGCCCTCAGAATTTTGGCTCTTGCTCCTATTTTTCATGTGTTTTCAAACACAAAACCATCCAAGAATGATAAATCATTAAATAGCTAATTTTTTTGAAATTTAAAACATGTGTCCAAACACTAATACAATAAGCTCATATACACCTATGCAAGATTGTGAGTACGGAGCAATGATTTTATTGGCTTCTTGTTAATCTTCAAAATCACAACACTGATACTCAACCTGACATGTCAACCCATTACTACCGAGTCCTATTTTGTCTACAAAAAATGTTAAACAGTATGTACTGTAACACTTTGTGTTATTGAATTTTATTTTTCATTTTAGAGTTGACTAAAACAACACATCCTAATGAAATTTGTAGTTATTGCTGATGCAAGTTGGAGTTGCAACATCAGTCTATTGACATTGGTTCCTTCTTTTCTTTTCTTTTCTTTTTTTTGAATGTTCTTGAGAGGGTAATTTATGTGAAAATTGGGCCGAGCTGGGAAATGGGTCACTATGGCCCACAATACGAAGGGCTGAGTAAAAAGGCCGTAAAGTTTCTCTGGCCCGAGAGAGGTACAAAGTTACTCTGGCCCGAGAGAAATGTAATGTTACTCCGGTCCGGAAGCGACTTGGAGTTAGGCCGGTTGGAAGACGCTTTGAAGTTAGACCGGTCTCAGAGTTAGCCCGGTCATGACGTGTTATGGTTAGACCGGTTAGAACCTTGCTACTCGGTAGCTCGGTCTAACCACGCCATTCTTTGTACATGAGGAACCGAGATAAGGAGTAGTAAAAAGGAGAACCGAACTAAAAACGGTTCAGTCTACTCTGTGGCTCGGCGTGATCGTAATTACTTCGGTTATATTGGAGTTCGGCCATGATAAAAACCATCTCACTTGGTTTAAGCAGTGAGGGGGTGTTGAAGAATAAGCATTGTCCTTCAGGAGTATGAATCCTAAGAGGACTCTGCATAGAGAAGTAAAAGTCTTACTAGGATTGTGCCACACGAAACCTATAAAAGCTCACAAACATTACCTTTGGAGAGGTAACACACAACTTTAAACAACATGAAATTTATAGTTATTGACGATGCAAGTTAGACTTGCAATGTCAGTCTATTGACTCTCTCTCTCTCTCTCTCTCCCCCTCATGTTCTAATTATGTGATTCTTTCAATTTCAAATCAATCTCATGTATTGAGTTCTAAGGATTATATTAGATGGGCAATGTTAAAAATCAAGCATCATATTTTAATGCTTATTTTGTTTTATTTTTTCTTTTGTTCATGATTTGTAGGCATGAGTCAAAGTTTATCCAAATAATTGTTCGAAAGATTGCTAACAAATTGGATCGTACAGTCTTGAGTGTCACTCCCTACCTAACAGGAATAGAATCTCATGTAAAACACATTAATTTGTGGTTACAAGATGGGTCAAACAATGTTGGAATAATGGTGATATGTGGAATGGGTGGAATAGGGAAGACAACCATTGCAAAAACTGTTTATAATCGAAACTTTGATAGATTTGAAGGTACCAGCCTTCTTGTAAATGTTAGAGAAACTTCAAAACAATTCAATGGTTTGGTTCATTTAGAAAGACAGCTTCTTTCTGATATTCTTAAGCGGAAAGTAGAAAAAATACACAATGTTGATGAGGGAATCATTAAGATTAAAGATGCTATAAGCTGTAAAAATGTTCTTGTCATTCTAGATGATGTGGATGAATTGGACCAAGTACATGCAATATTTGGAATGTGACACTGGTTTCATCCTGCAAGTAAAATTATCATTACAACTAGGCATGACCGATTGCTAAAATCTCATGAAGTTTGTGAGGTATCCATGTTTAAGGTGTTTAATAACGTTGAAGGGCTTCGTCTCTTCAGCTGGCATGCCTTTGGACAAAACCATCCTATTGAAGCATACATGGAGCACACAAAGAAGATGACATACCACTGTGGGGGGCTTCCTTTAGCTCTTGAAGTCTTAGGCGCTTCTCTATTTGGAAAAAAGTGTTGATGTATGGGAAAATGCATTAGCAAAGTTGCGATCATTTTTTGATGAGAAAATCCAAAATGTACTTCAAATAAGCTATGATTCTTTAGATGATCACGGCAAAAACTTGTTCCTTGATATTGCTTGTTTCTTTGTTGGAAAGGAAAAAGATTTTGCAGTTAAAATGCTAGATGAATGTGATTACTACACAACTGTTGGGATTCAATATCTCATTCGTAGATGCCTTGTAACAATTGATGGAGTAGACAACATGCTAATGATGCATCAATTGCTTAGAGACATGGGGAGGGAGATTATTCGTCAAGAATCTCTTGAGGAGCCTGGAAAATGCAGCAGAGTATGGCGTCATAGGGATGCCTACAACGTACTGAAAGAAAAAACTGTAAGAATTATGCTTCTTTTGTCTATCTGTATGTTTTTGTTCTTTGCACTTTGTGGTTACTTATGTGGTCCTTCTTCTTGTTAGGGAACCGAAACAATTGAAGGTTTTATTCTGGACTCTGCATGGTTCGATTCGGGTTTGGATTCGCATCTAATAAACTCATAGCCTCACTGAAATAAAAAGTGCAAAAATAAATACATCTGAAAGGAGTTTTGTCAAACGGGGTTGCCAAGAATAAAAACCTAACATAAATAATACACAACAACAACATTTTGAAGATTTGGTGGACAAAAATTCAACAAAGCGGCGGCGTCTTGGCTTATTCTCTTGGCTCGCCATATATTCTATCTTAACAGAATCACTTCTAGAATCAAGTGAAGAAGTCGATTTGAATACTAACGCATTTTTTTCGATGCACAAATTACGAATACTCCAACTTTGTAATGTACAACTCATTAGTTGCTATGAAAATTTTCCTAAGAAGTTAAGATGGTTGCATTGGCAAGGATTCCCTTTAAAATTTTTACCTAATGATTTTCATCTGGAGAGCCTGGTTGTTCTTGATATGCGCAATAGCAGCTTGTCACAACTTTGGAAGGGAACCAAGGTGTGATTCAAATTTTTGTTTACTTATCTTCTTTTAGTTTTAGCTACTTTTTTTTTTTTAATGAATGTGAATATTGATGAAGACTAATTTCCTACCTTCTTATGACAGATGCTCAGATTGTTGAAGATCCTCAATCTTAGTCGTTCCCATGGCCTTGTCAATTCCCCTGATTTCTTACAGCTCCCTAATCTTGAGAAATTAGTACTTGAGGATTGCATAAATGTGGTTGGGGTTCATGAATCAATTGGGAAATTAGAGAGACTTGTTTTTCTAAATCTTAGAGGCTGCAGAAATCTTACAAAGCTTCCAAGAGAAATTGTTCTGCTCAAATCCCTTGAAAAACTCATTCTCTCCAACTTTTCAAGGCTTGAAAAGTTGCCTCCTGACCTAGGCAAGATAGAATCTTTGAAAGTGCTTCATGCAGATGGAATAAATCAATTATCCTCAAACACGGGAGCGGTTAAACCATGGCTTGAACATGCTTGGTCTTGGGTATCAAAACTAGGAAGCCGCCCTGAATCCATTTGTTTTTCATTGACTTCCTTGCCTTGCTCGTTAGTAAGTTTAAATCTTGCAAATTGCAATATATCTGGTGATGGTATTCCAGGGGATCTTGGTACCTTGTCCTTGTTGCACACCTTGAATCTAAGCGGAAATCCAATCTGCAGCGTACCAGGGAACCTGAAAGGTCTTACTAGTCTCTTCACACTTACATTAGATCGCTGCACAAGGCTCAAATCACTTCTGGAGCTTCCAATGCGTTTTGCTGGAGTGAGTTTAACTGGATGCAGTTCTTTGGAAATGGTGACAAATCTACCAAACCTGCTTCAACAACTAAATTTGGACATACTAGATTGCAAGAAACTAGTTGAGGTTCGGGGAGTATTCAAGTTAGAACCAATTGCAAACATTGATTCAGAAATGATCAACAACTTGTGCTTGACTGAGTTGGATTCCATGGGGATGGTTGAGGTGGAACTATGCAATAACCTAACAAATTCAATTATCAAAGCTCCCACACTCCAGGTGTTCTCTCTCTCTCTGTCTCTCTCTCTGACTCAATCTCAATATGTTATCTATATTAAATTAATTATTAAAAATGTCAGTTCAATGTCACAGGGACTACATGAATGTGGTATATACAGCATATTTCTCTCTGGGAGTGAGATTCCTAGTTGGTTTGACAAGAAGAATAGGAATTCATCAATGTCTTTTACTGTTCCTTCACTTCCGCATTTGAAGTTTTGTGGCCTAAATATATGCGTTGTCTATGCATGTGCCACGAATGTTAGTCAAGCGGAATGGTCTTATGAATACATTAAAGTCAGTAATAAAACCAAGGGTTTGAAATGGGCCTATAGACCAACATTTAGAGGCACGGCATATGAACACAAAGATGTGATATGGTTAAGTGATTGGAAGATTGCGGATCTGTTAATGGAATGTGGTGATGAAATGAACATCTTTGTGAATATGGCTGAACTTTTTAAAGTAAAAGAATTTGGAATTCGGATTCTGTATGATGAAGAAGAACAGAAAGGTATCCAAAACAACACTGGTTATCCTTTTAATCAAAATGTCATTGATTTGTCAGCGTATCAGATGAAAAAAGGCGAGTATTTCTTATGCAATCTCGATGATATTGGTAGGGGGCTACACTACTCAAGGATGAGTGAACCAAAATGGGAGTGCCTAGAAAATACAGGTGAGACTTATAAAGTTCCTTCACCATTTCATTTGTTAAACAATAAGAAATATTAATAGAAAAAACAGAATCATTCCACCAAATCAGAAACAAAAATCCTCAATTTTGAATTGGGTTCTTTATAGTCTATAAAATGTTCAAATATTTATTACTTCAATTAATTTTTTTTTGTTTTTTTTCATATGGTTTACAGGTGAAATGGAAGTGGAGGAAGGAGGGTGACAGACCTAACAGCAGCAATCGGATTTCCTTCTCAAAAGTCTATCTTGCTTGATATGTTTGTTTAAATTTACCATGAGGATTATCAATTGTGTGATGTGGTCAGGTCTATGTGGCCTGGGGGGTGCCCTGTTTTGTGGGTCTGTTATGCTAAGCTGTGGGTAGCTCTTGTTGTGCTTTTGTTGTGGGTAGCTATTTGGTTAAATTTTGCCTCAGGTTTGGTGGTTCAATGTGCATTACCATCTGGTTGCTAATGCTGATCTGTGCTAATTCAGTGGTCTTGCATGATCTGTGCTAATTCTGTTACTGAGGAATGGAGGCTGAGTGGGTGTGCTGTGGTTGAGTTGGTGTGTTAATCTGAGTTGGAGCAACAGCAGCAGCTTTCAGTAGATGGTTCATCATCTGGTGGGATGGTCTGGTTGTTATATTGCTCTGTTGTCTGTAACAGCTTTCAGTGGCCTGTGCTTGAGTGTGTATTGTTCTGTTTCTGCTGCTGCAGTGTGTATTGTTCTGTTGTTTGCTGCAGTGTGTATTTGTGTGCATTCGTAGAAGTTTCTGCTTGTGCTTGAGTGTGTATTAGTATCTGCTGCTGCAGTGTCAAAGCAACAATCGAAAGAATGACAATTGTGCTTGAGTGTGTATTAGTATCAGGTCACAGTTTACATTGGTAGAAGTCTGCATTGGTGGAAGTCTGCTGCTTGTTACATTAGAAGTTTATCAGCTGTTATAGGCTGTGGTCTGTTGTCTGTCTTCTTGTTGGTTTCTCACCAACTTAGGGGTGCTAACAAATGATAGGATGGGCTTTTTGGTGCCAATCTAGTTGGGATGATTCAGCTCATTATGATGCTTTTGCACTTCCCTTTTCTTTATTGATGTTTTTTGTTTTGTACTGTGTACTTGCTTCTTTCATCAATAGAGCTCTTTTTTTGACGATCAAAAAAAAAAAAAAAAATTTGTTTGATGTTTTTATAGATGGGTTCTAAGTTTTCATTTTCTAATTTTATTCTGATTATTGTTACTCTAATTTTCCATTTAGGACCTTTCTTAGGTGTGCCTTGCATGCCATATGCAAGGCACTTGCACCTTTTATATTTTGCACTTACATGTTTTATGTATTGGGTTATACCAAATTCTTTTAAAAGAAGAAAAAGAGAGATGGTCAACCGGTTGTTCCGGTGTCCAATTTTTCAAAATTAAAAAATTCAATGGCTAGGATGTATTTGTGTAATCCAATGGCCAATAATGAAGTTGCATATGGTGTGCAACTCTTAAGGGGTTGCACATTGTAACAGGACCCAATTTCTTAACATGTTTCATTACTGTATATTACATAGTTTAGAGATCATAGGCACACAGTTGTACTATATAAGTAGCCTCATTTGGCAACTCTTCATTTTAGCTTAAAAGTCAAAAATTATTAAAAAAAGTCAAAAACCCAACAAACTATACAAAAAAATTAAGGGGAATTGACTCATAAATCCCAAAAGGTGGAATTGTAATCTAATCAGTCCCATATTTAATTTTGTGCACCCAAAGGTCCCATTATTTGGGGGTGGATAGTTTTGCCCATGAATGTATTGTTTTTAGTTTAGTGATATTATGTTTGATTGAAGTGGGTGTATGTAATGTTTGGGAAAAGCTTACTATAACTTTTTTAGGATTTAATAGTGTATGTAGTGGTGTCCACGTTTTTGATGACCTAGACGGTGGTGGCCCACATCATTTTTTGAAGCCCACATTTGAAGACAACCCATTATTTTGCAGAAAACACAACTTGGTGGACCACATCAAGTTGATCAAATAGAAGTTGATGGCCCACTTCAATTTCGCGAACCATATTTGGATAGCCCACGTTCAAGATCCCGACGTTTGCGAACGTCTGCAATCGAAGAACCCAACGTCTGCAAACGTCCTATTTGCAGACGTTCTCCTATTCCACCAAGGCGCCATTCCCCCCTCCTAGACGAGCTCGAATTCCACTGTTTTCAATTACACTGTTGTTCACCGTCAGGTTGGGTTCACGTTCAAGATCTCGACGTCTGCGAACGTCTGCAATCGAAGAACCCAACGTCTACGAACGTCCTATTCGCAGACATTCTCCTATTCTACCAAGGCGCCGTTCCCCCCTCCTAGACGAGCTCGAATTCCGTCCAGAAGGTCCCCTGTTAATCGTAGACGCAGCCGCTCTCCTATTCGAAGGCCTGTGCGTTCACGTTCAAGATCAATCTCTCCACGGAGAGGTCGACCACCAGTTCCAAGGCGTGGAAGGTCATCATCTTACTCAGATTCCCCTAGTCCACGCAAGGTAGGGAAGGCCGTTGAGAGGAAGAAGCACTAGCAACAGCAGCAACAACGTTTACACCCCCGAGAATATTGCCATTAACACACATAAGAAACACCCAACAACATTACCGTGGCTGCAATCAAAGAACCCAACCCGACGGTGAACAATGTGGAAGTAGACGACTGAGTACACCACCACACAACTCACACCCCATAACCTCTCCCCCACAGCACGCAACATTCAAATACTAATGACCCTCGTCATCCCTAAAAATCTGGCCGCACTTGATCTTCCCATAGTGGACGTCGAAAACAGTGTAATCAAAATAATTCAAACACCCTTCCAAAAACCGTTTCCAACCACACACAAAAGGTACATTAGTCAGAAAAACCATTCCATAATTACATAATGGGATCCTTTGGATCACATTACCAAAAAAATAGGACTTGCACGTGTATTAATTTTAAAAAAGGACTTGGTAGACTACAACTCTCCAAAATGGGAGTTTCCAATAACTTTCCCAAAAATTAATTTTTTTCTCTCTATTTTTTTGCACGCTTTTTCGTAAAAAGTCACTTAAAAATACTAGTTTTTTACCTTATATTGTAACTAAAAAGTAAAAAAATTATTAAAATAATATGATATCAGTGTTGGGAATAAAACCATTCCAACAAGAGAAGCAAAGGAAAAATAAAATAGAGATGGATATATGCGTATCCAAAATACGAACGAGATGGATGTTTGTTGTCTCAACCATTCTTGTCAATCCCGAGACCTCTAAGGAAGGGGTAATTTATAATATAACAAAGTTGTAGTGCTTCTGTGACAACCCTCACCACTGATTAGTGCTAATCCATGATTAAGCATGTTAATTGACTGATTGACTGAAATCCTGAACTGATTGATTGAACGTATTAGTTTAAATGCATGTCTATCTGTTCATGTTTTATGTTTTAAATTGAAAATTGAAAGCCTTATCGGCGGCCAAATCCGAAATTGCTTAATGTTTTATGCTCGTTAGAATTTATGTAATTTTATGGTATATTTAATAGAAATGTGATTGGATATGATTAAATTAGATTTAATAATGGTAAATTACAAGAGTTGGCCTTAATCACCAAATTGCCATCAGTGGATTTATCTAGGCAACCCCTCTCCACTTCATACATGTTGATACAACATTTCTTCAGCTCATTTCCTAGAGCAAAACCGACTAGAGAGAGAGGGAATTAGGAGAAAATAGAATTCATCAAAGATTGCTTGGAGAATTTGAAGGAGAATTGCATATTGAGCTGGCTTTCGAAGATGGGCTAGCCAGATACTGCATTATTGGATGCCTCCAATCTTGTTCTTGTAAGTCATTATGATTGCTGTTACAACCCTCACCACTGATTAGTGCTAATCCATGATTAAGCATGTTAACTGACTGATTGACTGAAATCCTGAACTGATTGATTGAACGTATTAGTTTAAATGCATGTCTATCTGTTCGTGTTTTATGTTTTAAATTGAAAATTGAAAGCCTTATCGGCGGCCAAATCCGAAATTGCTTAATGTTTTATGCTCGTTAGAATTTATGTAATTTTATGGTATATTTAATAGAAATGTGATTGGATATGATTAAATTAGATTTAATAATGGTAAATTACAAGAGTTGGCCTTAATCACCAAATTTCCATCTAGTGGATTTATCTAGGCAACCCCTCTCCACTTCATACATGTTGATACAACATTTCTTCAGCTCATTTCCTAGAGCAAAACCAACTAGAGAGAGGGAATTGGAAGAAAATGGAATTCATCAAAGATTGCTTGGAGAATTTGAAGGAGAATTGCATATTGAGCCTCGACACTTGTAATCCAAGACCTAAGGTAGAGAATTTACCTTCTTGTTCATAGTTTGAATTACTTCTTTCATGGTCCATGTTAATTTTGAAGTCTAGAGCCAAAATATGGCTTAAATTGTTGAATTGAGTAAGATTTCATGCTTGCATGGTCCTATTGTTGAGTTTTGAGTTGTTTTCATGGAAATTGCTAGATGCATGTTCATATTTTTGGTCTTGATCCATGGATTCACCATGTTTTTGTAAGAATTGGCTCTTTGGAGCATGTTTTAGAAGCTTTGAATTCATTAGAACTCATGCATGTATGAGTTTTGCATCAATCTTCATGTTATTGGATTTTGGGTTGGAATTGTGTTTTAATTGAACTACCTTTGGGCTTTGATTCCTCAAATTGATCTTCAAAACATGTTATACTATGAGTTTACAAGTGTTTTCCAGAAAATTAGCCCAAAAGGATCGAATTTGATGCATTGGAATTGAGTTTTGAGCATGAGGTTCAAATCTTGAAATTCCAGATTTGGGACTCACGCTCGAGCGAAGAGTTCTACGCTCAAGCGTAAGCCTTGCGTTCATGCATTCCGCTCGAGCAAGGAAAGTGGCGCTCGAGCGTGAAATGCGTGTATCCAGTACTTTGCATGTGTTTACAGTCCGCTCGAGCGAGGACTTGTGTCTCACACTCGAGCGTGTATCGAGCGCCCGTCGAACGTGATTTTTGTGCATCCAGTATTTTTACTGTAGCTTACAGTCCGCTTGAGCGACTTAAGTCACGCTCGAGCGGAGATCCTTTGTCTGCATGTCCGCTCGAGCGTAGATAGCCGCGCTCGAGCGAGACCCTTGTTTTCTGAAAATTTTGAAAAGTGTTTTAAAGTGCATCTTTGCATCCTCATTCCATCCTAGACATTCCTAGGCCTAGTTTAAGGCATCTTAATGAGGATACTGATGTAGAACCACACTGAGTCAAGATAGGGATTAAGTTATTATTTCCCAACTGTGTAGCTTAGTGTGTGTTCACTCTGTAACTGTGTAGGGTTGGCATCCGAGGACGCGTACTAGCTTATCTGTAGCCCAGAACTCTGTGAGTAACAATGTTGTAAAGATATGTTCAATTGAGATTATTTTCTGAACAAATGACTATACTGCTTTATGAAATGACACTGTTTACTGAATGAATGTTTGTCCTATTTGTGAACTGTATTCGTGGCATCCATAGCAATATACTGTTACTGAATTATTACTGCTACTGTTACAGAGATCTCTGTTGGTTCCCATGTTTGGAACCACTATTGTTTACTGATATGATGGCCATCATTGACTGCTCGGTCTGTTAAGACCTACTGTACTGTTTTGCTATTGGGTGTACCACATATGACTATTATAGTTTCTGAATTATTGTATGGCATTAATTATGAGCCACAAACTGAATGACTGATATACTGATAAATGACTGTTTTCAATACTGAAGGGACATTCATTCTTAACTTTTTTACGCATATGTTATTCACTGGGCTTTAGCTCATTGCTTATATATATATGTAGGTGTATAGGCACCAGACCGTTGCTAGGAGCGTCGGGCTAAGCTCCCGTTTTGTCAAAGCCAACCACCGTGCCTCATTACGAGGTTCTAAGTCCTTCAAGCTAGGGCTTTTTGGGGTGTTTTAGTTTTCCCCCTTTTTGTATCTAGTTTTGTAACACTGTATAGACTGACATGTGTACCCGTACTGTACTGTTATGGTAGGGATTTGGTCTCTAACCTGAATGCCTGTAAATGATGTATGTATGTATATACTGTTTTGTTTTTGAATGTG